TCGCCTTACAAAGTATGCTCACTTTTACGATGTTCGTAATCCCTACGCTACTTCCAGTATTGCTTGAACCTTTACAGAGAATATTGTAAAATTACACGGGATACCGAGATCTATTGTAAGTTATCGTGATAGGGTCTTCATGAGTAGATTTTGGATAGAGTTATTCCAAATACAGGGCACTAAATTAAAAATGAGTATGGCGTATCACCTACAAACCGACAGCTAGATTGAAGTGGTAAATAGGTGCTTGGAGACATACCTCAGATGCTTTACCAGTGATCAGCCAAAAGAGTGCACAAAGTGGCTTCCCTTAGCCGAGTGGTGGTATGATACAACTTATCATTCATCCACAAAATGTACTCCCTATGAGGCTATGTATTGTTGACCTCCCCCTACGATCCCAAAATATGTGTTGGGCACCTCTAAAGTAGAATAAGTAGAGAGGAAACTATAAAACATAGATAAAATGCTAAAGTTGCTAAAAGATAATCTCACTGCAGCTCAAGCAAGGATGACACATCAATATGATCAACATAAAGGCGAAAGAGAATTTTCAGTAGGAGATTGGGTCTTCCTATGGCACCAGCTATACAAGCAAACATCAATCCAAACTAAAGCATCTATAAAGCTTTCATCTCGGTTCTATGGACCCTACCAAATTTTTAAGTGCATCGGAGTGGTACCATACAGATTGGACTTACCCGTTAGCTCTCGAATCTATCCAGTCTTCCATGTGTCATGTTTAAAGCTCAAGCTGGGACAAAACGAGACAACCCAAAGCCATCTACCAAATATGACTATCCAAGGAGAACTCCAAACCTAGCCGAGTTTTATTATTGATCAACGGATCGTGACTCGACGATGATGACCCACTACTGAAGTGCTAATACAGTGGGCAAACCTACCAGTAGAAGATGCCACTTGGGAGAACTATAACGACTTGAAAATCAAATTCCCAGAATTCATGGAGCGTCAGCCTCAAGGACAAGGCTGATTTGAAGAGGGTAGTTCTATTAGGACTTTAGCTAGGAGAGTCCTAATTGAGTTTCATTGAAAAGGTCATTCATGTAAAACCTACCTAATTGACCCCCAATAAAAAGGTGAAGAGGCCGGCTAAGGTTAGGATTACTTTGGAGGTTGCTTCTCAGAAAAGCATTAGGAGTTAGTTAGAAGTAGGAGTCTTGAGTAGGAGTCCTATTAGGAGTTGGGGTTTAGAAGCCCTATAAATAGCTATGTATTCATCCTCTTTTCTTAAGGAATAGATCAATCCTTTTAGCATCCTTTGAGCAACAACCTGGGGGAAGAAACCCTAATAGAGTTCTAAGGAAACCGATCCCCTAAAGAGATCAACCCCAAGCATAGAATCCGTAAGGGTTCTAACAGCAATACTTGCAGCTCCACGGCTCGTCGCAATGCCAACATAACCCATTCGCATATCGCTCCTGAAGCTCTTCTCTTGTCAATTTTTTTGGTGCAATGACTCGATTGACAATAGGGGGGCTGAGGGCTTTAGTATTACTAGTCGAGGAGTAACCCTAGTCCTCCGGGCTTCATGGTTCAATCACTCCTCTTGAAGTCATGAGAAAGAGATGACTGTCATAAGCGTGTACAATTATTATGCTTTAACTTCTCCCCATATCTCTGGCTTTAGGCCCTTAATAAAGGTCCCCAATAGCTATTTTTTAAACTAATCATGAGTTTGATTAGATAACCTTTCAAACTTAGTTTGGTACTCTTGAATGGTGGAGGTTTGTCGGATCTTTGCTAGTTGTCCGTCAATGTTCTCGTAATCGGTTGGTCTGAAGCAGATCAATATTGTTTCTTTGAATTGTCGCCATGAGAGGACTCCATGAGTGTGTTCAAACCAGTCAAATCACTGTATGACATCCCTTTTAAGATGTATAACCGTATTTTCTACCATAGATGCATATGTGGTTTTATGATACTGAAAATATCGCTCCGCACGTGAGATCTAACCAATCGGGCCTCCTTCTTCCCATCTAGGGAAGTCCACCCTCATGTATGGATAGTAGGGATCAATCACAAAGCCTCCCCACTCTTGAAAGTCATGTCTTCGATCATAGCTCTTTCCTTGATGTGATTTCTTCGGGCTCGGTGGTCAGCCCAAACTGAGTTCAATCAAGATAGTCCAAATTTTATCCTCCATTCGCATCTCAAAGGCTTCGAATTTAGCATTGATTGCTGATAGAACCCTAGAGGAATTCTATGTAGATTGAACTTTGAGGGGGATTAACCCTTGGAACGCTATAGGGGTTCCACCCTCCTAGTAGTCGGCCAAATAGATTCAATTATAGATGAATCTTATTCTCAAAGAGATAGAGGATACATGCTTATATAGGGCTCCAAACTCTAGCCCTAGGGACTGCTTCCTAAGTGAGTTATCCCTTTTGCCCTTAACCCTAACCAACTAGCCCAGTAAAAGGGGGGCGACAGCTAGGAAGCCCAAATGCTCAAATATAAACCCTAGCCACTATTCTTTATAGGATAGAGGCGGCTATGTGGGGTTTATTACAATCTCACAGGGTGTTTATTAACCGCTTCTTGGTTAAGTAGGACCCAACTCTACTAGGGTCCTATCATTTCTCTAACCTATTTTCTCTTTTATAGGTCTTTAAGGGACCATAAGAGGTTTTAGAGAGGTTCACACTTTGCGAGTTGACACACAAGGGTACCACATAACCTAGGTTATTGGAGGTAGTTAAATGTTGCCTCCTTGCTAAATATTCCATGGAATATTTTACCTTTTTACAACCAGGTATGGAAGCTCATCTTCTATACTATGGAAAGTGGATCACTTTTTGATTACTTGCGTCTATACTCACCTATATCAAGTTACTAACTTAGATATCGGGGGGATAGAATCGAAAAACTTCTCCCAACCTCGATCTTCATGTAGGTGGTACCTTAGGAATTCGACATTTCCAGCATCTTGGACTATCTTGCACACATAGGTCCGGATCACGTTGGGCTGACCAAGATATCAACGACTTCTGGTAACATATTCTAAGAATTTTATATATAATTTTAATGTATATTTCTTATATGAGTTAGAAAAATATAAAGGATTCTCATGATGATGTTAGTTTTAATAGTCTAAGATCTACGTAAATATTCGAACCACTCTCTTTTGCCTGTTTTAGAAAGAATGATATATATGTTAGTGACTTGTGTAATTTGATTGGTTTGTGAAATATTTAATTATTCAGAAATCATTCGATATGTTATGTATGTTTGCAACAATTGAAAAAGTCTGTTTGTCTTTTAAATATTCTTTGAAATAATTATTGACTTATAGCTTATTTTATATTTTAAAATATTATAAAATCTTTTACAAAATTAATTTTGAAAAAAAGCCATATGAGTTTGTGAAATGGTTTATAAAAATATATTCAAAAGTTTGACATATGATACATGATATCTTAGATGTCTGTTTAGTATGATTATGATTTGGATCCAACCAATAGGAGTTAGAAATTTATGTTTGTTCAGAAACTAGTTTATTTTGAGCTCTGACATAGGATAAACGTGTTATCTAGGGATCAAATAGGATTCTGGGCCTTTTCATGGGGATATAGTATGGTGTAGCAGTCACTACTAAAAACAACATCATATGTAACCTTAGTTATGTGTATATTACTCTTAAAAAAAACATGTTCAAAATCTATTGCTTTGAAAAAAAAATAATTGAAAGTTATTCTATTATAAGCATATGGTTTGCACAACATATGAAGCTCAATTCTGGTTAGCTTATGTTATGATTTATTATGAATAAAAAGAATTATCTATTATGTATTTGGAGTAAATATTGATTGAAAAATAATTTAAAAGTTTTGAGAAGAAGATATATATTCTTGTGTCAGTTTTGTTGGTACGTGAGTTGTCAATGCTTACTGAGCTATTGTTTGCTCATGCTCCTGTTACTTAAATTTTTTGATATCGAGGAACAAGTCATATGTGAACCATTGAGTTATAGATAAATTCATTGAATATGTTGTAGATATATGAAATAAGTGATAAAGTTTTATTAAGTGCGTAAATTTGGGATGATAAATGATTTGTACAGTTGGCCTCACTATTCTCGTAAGAAAGCTTCTATGGATTGCGGCGTTGTATCGCTTCTGGTTTTCCGCTGGGGGCATTACATTGATATCATGAACAGAGAAGCATGCAGGATGCGGAGATGACGAGAGAAAAGAAATTGCAAAGTACTTGCATTAGATGCTTTGAGAACAATTACAAAGATAGACACAAAGTAGAAACAAAAAACAAAGTATCCTTTTAGTTCACTCTTCATTTTTTGATTTATATCAATATAAGACTCTACTTTTAGTTCTCTCCTCATCTTTCACACAACACTATTCTTTTATTTATTTATTTATTTATTTTTATCTTATACATGTGAATATTTTTTTACAAAGAGCTCCTTAGACCACCAACAGGACCAGTTGATCGACCACTTTCAGATCCAGTATCAGTTTTATCTCAATAGTTTCTCGAGTTGCCAGCTCTGCCTCCAAAATGGCTTCTGTTCCCGTGCTGTCTTGCTCCTGCACTCAGGTGCCCATCCCCTCTACCAGGTGGAAATCTTCCTCTGTTATCATTAACTGCAGAACAGAAAGCGTGAGCACAAAACCCTGGATGACAATGGTTTATTTGATTTCTTGCAGTGATATTATGCTGAAATATAAACAGGTAAATCTCATTTGTAAATTGGTGAATTATCATCCTCTGAAGTGATACAAGGGCAACTTGTATCATCATAATGTAACAGTTACCTCCTGAACCAAATATTTTCTTTTGCTCGATGTAGACTTGACGGCCAGATATAATTATGGGAGAAGCCTGAAATATGAACACAATATCAGGGAATCAAAGTAGCAAGTGGCAATACGTAAGCACAGTATACGAGATTAACCTTTATCGCATTTCGGGCGGAATCGGCCATCTCGAACTCGACGAAGCCATAACAAGAAGGACGTTCCTGGCACTAAAAGTGCACTCTTACATCATCAAATATGAAGAACGATAAGAGTGTTCAGAAAGCTACAGAAGATGATAGGAGAGACGAACCTTAGTGGTTCTGACTTGGATGCCACCAGGCTTGATAGGACCAAACCTCTTGAAGTGCTCCTCGAGATGAGCCGGTGTTGCACCGAAGGGTATGTTTTTAATGCACACTGATGTGTTGTTTCCAGCAGCACCAGAAGTGGAGATCGGCGTATCAGATGTTGGCGTAGGGACTGCTTTAGATGCCGCTGCAGCTGATTCCTTCACAGCGCCACCTTTCTTAGGTTTCATCTGCGTCCATCATGACATTTGTTGATTTCGAATATGAATCCTTTTAACACAGAGGAAAATACTTCGCATCAAATCGAGATTAAGCACTTACTACTTCAGCATATGTCCTTTTGTACATCTGTTGAACAAGAGTTGTATCAACCCGACAGCCATCGGAAGCTACATCAAGCACCTCATTGCTCGATTCTCTCTCTGGCACAGTCGAGCTCTCGCCATTGTTCACGGAATCACATATCTCATTGCCCGGTTCTTTCTCTTGGACAGTCCAGCTCTCGCCATTGCTCATAGAATCACAGACTACATATGCAGTAGCAATCACATCATCGATGGGCAATGGTACAGTTTCTTCTCGATCTATAGAACAAGCGGAAAAAGATTAAATGGGGCCAACAAAAAGAACGATACACTTCAGGTGCTGAGCCACACGAAGGGAAACGTACCAATGGCAGAGCCCTGGCCGTCGATATCTCCCGCATACCGTAGTATGTCATTGAGCACGAAGTATCCCGTCTCCTGGGGAGCAAGGAAGAAGACCTGGAAGAAGCCCCTCTGGACATCGTCCTCCCTGATGAGACGCCCTGTCACGTGGACCAACACCCCACCATTGTGCGAGTCCTGGCTGTCCACCTTCCTTATCTCTGGTACGCCCAATCTGGTGGCCATTATCTTCTCCTTGATTCCCTATTTTCCATCAATTTAGCAAATTAAAGATCTCGTTTTTCTCAAAATGAAAACAATTTTTTTCCTTCGTACCAATCTGCATCAGAATCGTTTTCCCCTCTTTTATACTGAGATTTCGAGTACTCACATCGATGGTGGTGACCGATGTCACGTCGCCACGGTCATCAGGACGGCCAAGCTTGCTGCTTTCCTTGTAGAACTGGTGAACCATCTCCGGATGATGCCGAAGGACATAATAGTATTGCTCAATGAATGCTTTCCCGACCTAAACGCACAGATTTGACATCGTAAGCCAGGAAACACACAACTAGTTTCTCCAATCGAAAGCAGTACAACGCCGAAGAAAGAGAGACTCCTCACCACTTCGGCAGAAGGTTGTCGGTTCGCCATCTCAACACAGGAAAACTATCTTTCAAAAGAGAGAACCGATGGAGATGGACTCCGGGGTTTGACAGGCGATGCTGAAGGTGAGAAGGCGAGGAAGGGCAGGGAGCAAGAGAGGAGTGTGACAGCGAATTGTTTGCCATTGCAGGGAGGCATGAAGCCCTCTTTATAGACCTCGGGTGTGTGGGTGTGCGGGATGTCCTCTTTTCGTAGTCTCATCCGGATTCGAATTCGGATTGGGATTCGGATTCGGATACCGACAAGGGCGAGATTTCCTGCCCGGGTCACAGCAAGGTTCAGGAGGTCACTAGCAACAAGATTTACAACAAGATTCTCGAGGTCACTAGTAATTCAAGTGGGTTTCACGTAAATAAGGAATCTGAATCCAACTAGCAATGGGAATGGGAATCTAACGTGGAATCCAAATTCAAAGCCAAACGCCTTTTTTTTTTTTTTCAATTTTTTTTAAAATCTAATTTCACTGAGTCGGCTCGATCTCAGACTTGAAAACATGATCCTCACTATACAAGATTAAAAACGAAAATAAATTTTTGACATAATTATCAAATACAAGAATGTACGGGCCATCTTATCTTTGGTTTTATTTATTAATTATATTGGATATTAATATAGGGGTAGAAGATGTGGTCAACTTCCCGGCATCGTATGACCAACACTACAATGTTACATAGGCTAATATTTCAACATTACATGATTGACACCTTAATATCATACTGATTAATGGTCAACACCATAATACCATATGAGTCAACGATCGACACCTCAATGCCATGAGTCAATGGCTGATACTTTAACATCATACAAGAGGAATCTGTTAGAAAATAAATAGATAAACAAGTTGTAGAAGAAGTTGATTGTTATTAACATATCCTCCTTCCTTTTATACAGGTTAGAAGGGAGAATTTTCCTCAACAGGTTAGAGGATTTCCCTCAACAGAGTAGAGAGATTTCCTCAAATAGTTAGGGAAATCTCATCTACTTATCATGCCCCCGCAAGATGATACTTTGATCAAGGAGGCCAATCTTGGACAGATGTAATGCAAAAAGTTTACGAGCTAGAGGCTTCGTAAATGAGTCGGCCAATTGATCAACCGTATGAACATGAGAAACACGAAGTTGACGGCGGACAACTTGATCACGTACAAAGTGGAAGTCGATAGCAATATGTTTCATGCAGGAGTGGAATACCGGATTAGCGCACAGATAGGTAGCTCCAATATTATCACAATATATTGTAGGGGTGGAATCGATGTTGAGTTCCTGGAGTAGATTCGTGATCCAATTGAGTTCTGCAGTGGTAGCGGCAATGGCACGGTATTCAGCTTCAGTTGTAGACCGGGTGATTGTCTTTTGCTTCTTAGAACTCCAACTGATTGGATGAGCACCAAGGAAGATAATATACCCCGATATGGATGTTCTATCATCAAGATTACTTGCCCAATCAGCATCGGCAAAGGCATGAAGACGAAGTGGAGAGTGTTTACGAAAAAAGAGACCATGATTTAGGGTCCCTTTAAGATATTGTAGAAGTCTCTTGACCGCAGACCAGTGTAGAGTAGATGGTTGCTGCATAAACTATGATAATTTGTTGACAGCAAATGAGATGTATGGATGCGTGAGAGCTAAGTATTGTAAAGTGCCAACAACTTGGCGGTATTGAGTGGGTTCCGTAGCAGGACTTTCATCCGATAATTTGAGAGAACCACTAGTAGAGATGGGGGTTGTAACTGCATTTGCATCCTGCATGTTTGTCTTTAATAACAAATCTTGAATGTACTTGTGTTGTGATAAAAGGAGACCGGAAGACGTGAAGGTAGCTTCGACGCCCAGAAAGTAGCTCAAGGGTCCGAGATCCTTAAGCGAGAATCGAGCTGCCAGTTGTTTGATGAACGCTTGGATGCTGATGGGATTGTTTCCTGTGACAATAATATCATCCACATATACCAGAATATACATTGTGTTTCCATGATGATGTCGCAGAAACAACGAAGTGTCAGATTTGGAGTTAAGAAAGCTGACAAAAGTAAAAAATGAGCTAAGTTCAGTGTACCAAGCTCTCGGAGCCTGACAAAGTCCATAAATGGCTTTCCGAAGTTTGCAAACATGCTGTGGATACTGAGGATGAGTAAAACCAGGGGGTTGTTGTATAAAAACATCTTCGGATAGAGATCCCTGTAGAAAGGCATTATTAACATCCAATTATCGTAATTGCTAGCCTTTAGTGGTAGCCAGACTCAAGATAAGCCGGATTGTAGTGGGTTTAATAACAGGACTAAACGTCTCAGTGAAATCAACTCCAGGTCATTGATGAAACCCTTTGGCGACCAAGCGTGCCTTATATCGGGCAACAGAGCCATCTGGGTTCCGCTTAATTCTAAAGACCCACTTACACCTGATGATGTTTTGTGAAGGATGGAAAGGAATGAGATCCCACGTTGAATTATGGAGGAGGGCATTATATTCCTCACTCATGGCAGTACTCCAATGCGGAGATTTTTGGGCTTGAGTGAAGGTGGTGGGTTCAACGTTAGGGGATGAGGAATTCATGATAGCTTGTAGGTTAAGTACCTGACGATATTTAAAAATATCATGCTTAGAGCGAGTGGTCATAGGATGATTGGAGATGACAGGATTGGGAGGTGATGTCGGGTGAGGATCTGTGGCACAAGCCGGGTCAAGTGGAGACACGTCAGGGGCACTTGGGCGAGAAAGAGGTAAAGAGGATGGTTGTGTTTCAGAACATATTGCCCCATCAATTGGGGAAGAGTGGAGTGGAGTAGGAACAGAGGAAACGGGCAAGTGTTGAACTAGAGTGATATAGTGCGGATCAGGAGGGGAGGAAGTAGACGAAGTCATGAGAGGCTCGTTCGATTGGTCCGAAGGTATACTCTAGTGAGATAGTGAAGTGGTCCGTATGGCAGGATATGGAAGGGTTTGGAAAGGAAAGTTAGACTCAACAAAGACAACGTGACGTGATATGAAGATTTTGTGAGTGTGGAGATTATAGCAGCGGAAAGCATTATGTTCAAGTGAGTAACCAATAAAGACGCAAGGAGTAGATCGAGATGTTAACTTATGAGAGGCATAGGGACGTAACCAAGGATAACATAAACAACCGAACACTCGGAGTTTACGAAGGTTAGGGGGTTTGTGAAATAGTGTGTCAAAGGGGGACTGGTATTGT